AAACTATTAGCCTAAGATCTAGTTAGCATAACTTAAAGTAGCATAACTCAAGTTAGTAAATTAGTAGTAGCATGGAGCAGGGTTAGACCAGATGCTACTAGTAGAAATACTTTTATTGCTTTATTTATAAATTTCAGTTTATGAATGCCTTTCACATGCATGTGTCATTAGACTCTCACTACACTCTGTGGGGTATCATCATCATTTTCTGGTACATCAAACTAAGTTTCAGAGAGGCCACTTGCCCAAGATCACTAGATGTTAAAAAGCAGAGGGTGGGGGTAACCTATTCAGTATCCTGTGGTAGATCATAATGGAACAGAATATGAGAATAAATATATATGACTGCATCACTTTGCTGTACAGTAGAAATTAACACAGCATTGTAAATCCACTATAGTTCAATGAAAGAAATAGTAGAGTGGGAACTAGAACTTGTCTTCTGTTTTCTCTTGATAGGCCCCATGTTCTTTCCATTACTCCATACTAATCTAGTGAGTGCTACATTAAAAGTTTTAGGCCTAAATTATACTTTTTCATGCAGTTTTAATTCCATAGCATCTAATTTTGTCATCTGGTGTGTAAAAAGCAGTCATTACTTATCATTAAATGAGATATATGTGAAAGTATTTTATAAATTGTAAGGCACTGGACAAATAAACATTTGAAGCCTAGTTTGGAGATTGGCATTTTTTTTTCTTTCCCTCCAAGTTAGGGGAAATATATTCAGTTGATAAGTGAAATGGGTGAGAGGTGTACAAAGTAGTATTTACAATCATTCTAACACAGGCATACCTCACAGCATTTGCTCACTTTGTGTCCCCGTGTCACATTTTGATAATTCCCACAATATTTCAAACTTTTCCCATGTTGTATTTGTTCAGTTCAGTTCAGTCGCACAGTCGTGTCAGACTCTTTGTGACCCCATGAATGCACGCCAGGCCTCCCTGTCCATCACCAACTCCCAGAGTCCACCCAAACCCATGTCCATTGAGTCAGTGATGCCATCCAACCATCACCCTCTGTTGTCCCCTTCTCCTGCCCTCAATCTTTCCCAGCATCAGGGTCTTTTCAAATGAGTCAGCTCTTTGCATTAGGTGGCCAAAGTATTGGAGTTTCAGCTTCAGCATCAGTCCGTCCAATGAACACCCAGGACTGATCTCCTTTAGGATGGACGGGTTGGATCTCCTTGCAGTCCAAGGGACTCTCAAGAGTCTTCTTCAACACCACAGTTCAAAAGCATCAACTCTTCGGCACTCAGCTTTCTTTATAGTCCAACTCTCACATCCATACATGACCATTGTTATGGTCATCTATAATCAGTGATCTTTGAGGTTACTATTGTGGTCACTGAAGGCCAGGTGATGGTTAGCATATTCTACAAGAATTTTTAAATTAAGATATGTATCAATACTTTTTTTCAAGACATAATGCTATTACACACTTGATAGACTACAATAACTTTTTTATGTATTGGGAAGTCAAAACATTTGTGTGACTGGATTTATTGTTTATTATGGTGGTCTGGAATGGAACTTGCAACATCTTTGAGGTATGTCTGTAAATATTGGATGCATTAGTGTGTGTGCCCCCGTGTGCATGCTCAGTCGTGTCCAACTCTTTTGTGATCCCATGGCCTATAGTCTTCCAGGCTCCTCTCTCCATAGGATTTTCCAGGCAGGAATACTGGAGTGGGTTGGCATATCCTCCTCCAGGGAAACTTCCTGACCTAGGGATTGAAGTGTCTCTTGTATCTCTTGCATTGACAGGTGGATTCTTTACCACTGCACCAACTGGGAAGCCCTGGCTGCATTAGGGGAAAAGTGAAAGTGAAGTTGCTCAGTCGTGTCCAACTCTTTGCAACCCCATGGACTGTAGCCCACCAGGCTCCTCCATCCATGGGATTCTCCAGGCAAGAGTACTGGAGTGGGTTGCCATTTCCATCTCCAGGGGATCTTCCTGACCCAGGGATAGAACCCAGGTCTCCTGCATTGTAGATAGACGCTTTACCATCTGAGCCACCAGGGAAGTCTTTAGGGGGTAGTTTCTAAAAAGACGTGACAAGAAGACATCTTTGGGACCAATTCTTAGAATTTGGGAACATGGCTGGTATTCACAGTTTAATGCAAAACCTGTTTCACATAGCTCTAAGAGGTATAAAGAAGCTCTCCAAGGCATGGAGGATCAAGGATTCAACAACTCCTGTTGCTGTCTACATCAATCTCAGATTCAACAAGAATTCACTGGCTTTTGACCAAGGACCCATTACTCATGCTCTGAGTTTTGAGAGCTTTTGGGTCCTCCTAAAAACCCAGTGGGGGGCTTATATGCTTGGTACTCCTTAAGCTCTTCTTTAACTGTTACAGTAAAGGACTCAATAACCTTAAGGCTACTCAACTGTTAACTTAGTGAAAGTGCCAACTCCTTAGAGCATGGCATTCAAGGCCCTCCTTGGCTTGTAACCTACCTTTCCAATTGCCACTCCCACTGTTCTCAGGGATAAACACTGCTCCAGTTAAATTAGGCGGCTCCCTACCTCCTGAGCATGTTGTAGTTTTCCATTTGGATACCTTTATTTTTTTGGCTGTTTGGTGCAACGTGTGGGATTTTAGTTCCCTGACCAGGGATCCAGCCCATGCTCCATGTGAAAACTAATTTCACATTCTTTTTACTTTTTCATGTAGGTTTCTAGAAAATTTAATATATGTATGTGGCTTGCATTTTATATGTATGTGTGTATGCTTAGACACTGTTGTGTATGACTTTTAAGACCCCAGGACTGCAGCCCGCCGGGCTCCTCAGTCTGTGGAATTCTCCAGGCAAGAATGCTGGAGTGAGTTGCCATTTCCTACTCCAGATTTACCTGACCCAGGGATCGAACCCATGTATCCTGCACTGCATATGGATTCTTTACTGCTGAGCCACTTATTTTTAATTAAGAATACTTTTTTTAAAGACTTTTTTTGACGTGGGCCATTTTTAAAGTCTTTATTGAATTTGTTACAAGAATGCTTGTTTTATGTTTTGGTTTATTGTCTGCAAGGCATGTGGGGTCTTAGCTTCCTGAGCAGGGATCAAACATGCACCCCCTGTATTGGAAGGCCAAATCTTAACCTCTGGACCACCAGGGAAGTCCCTTGAATTATAGTTTTAATATACAGTGCTCCTCTACATCATTAGCCTACTCTCTTAGGCCCGTGTAGAAGTGAGCCCACCTTTCAAGCCCCACCTTGTACTTTCTCACATCCTGAAATAATATGATAAATGATAAAAAAAATTCTAAGTCTGGGTTCATATATTTGATGCAGACATACCCTTTACATTATCAAACTGAAGTTACTCAGATCAGCTGGACAGATCAGGAAAGCAAAGCCTTTCTGCCAAAGGCCATAGGACAATTAATATGCTCTGGAAGTGTTCGATAACTTCTTACAGGCACCCATACTAGAAAAACTCCAAACCCCTAATTCCATCTATATTTCTCCTATTGTTCATCACTTCTATTCCCTAAGATGTTAGCTCTTCCTGTGAAATTCTTTCAATTCTGTTACCTTTCTTTCAGTACATACCTAATTAGTCTTAGTTGCTTTGCTTTTAAAGTCTAGTTTCCAAGTAGTTTCCCAGCTTCCTGCCCCCTACCTATGTTCATTCCATTCTATATACTGCAACTAAAATAATCTTCCCTATTTTTTGCAGATATAACTCTTGGCTCAAAAACTTTCTTTTTGCCCAGTGTCTGTAAGAAGAATTATTTTGTTCAACATTCAAGGCTTTTTTTATACCTTAACCCTGGACCTAAAACCTGGGCTTCAGGGAAATCAGATTGAGCTTATGCAAATCACTTAGAACTCTGCCTGGCTTATATGTAAGTCTTAGCTATTACCTCCTTCCTACAACTGATAGAACCTGTTAACTCTGAACCCTAATTTACCACAATATTTAACAATAAAATCTAAGATTAGGTGGGATATAAATAAAAGATAGTATTTCTTTTATGCGACAGACAGTAAACTTGTGGGATGTGACATTTCAAGAAGAAATAAAGCCTGGGAAAATGTAAATGTGTTCTGGATTTAGCACAGTGGTGCCCAAATTCTAGCCTTATTAGAATAATGGGAAGTTTGCTTTTTTTTGGCCAAGCCTCACAGCTTTCTGGGATCTTAGTTTTCTGACCAGGGTACCAGAGATTGAACCCGCGCCCATTGCAGTGGAAGTGCTGAGCCCTCACCACTGGACCCTCTGGGAATTGTCACAGAAGAACCTGGGAAGCTTTCAAAACTAACATAGGTGTCTGAGCCCCACTCTAGCTTTACTGAATCTCTTCAATGGTAGGGGCACATGAATTTTAGAAAAAGCTTCACACATGATTCACGTACACTTTTTCAAAAACTGCATGAAAATTTCATGTGCACCTACAACCAAGAATCACTGGTTTAATACAGAAACTCTGGATTAAGGAAGCTGGTTATACTTGGCATGTATTTTTCACTATGTTCCCCTGGAACATGGTTTTATAAAACAGAGAACTAATTAGCACTGAATAACTTATGTGTTAATGAGCAGTGTTCTTAAAAATAAAAACAACAAAATAACCTTGAATTTGATTTAGTGAGTTGGAAAAGAACAAGTCATATATACCACAAATGCCACACTTGGTTTTCATTTAAAAGCTTGTCTGTTAGTCTGACTTCTATTAATTTATAAATCTCAAACCAGAATTCTTAGGTAAATATATATTTAAAATGTACAACATTTACAGTTTTTACAACCCAAACTTTAGCTATATAAATGTATGAAAAAACTGGCATTTAAGTATGTAATACTTCAAAAACACCTCTACCTCAAAAATATTTTACACTAATCTTCCAAAGTGGTCTCTTCGAAGGCTCGTTGTATCTCAACAATCCAGTTAGGTTACCAAATCTCTAGGCATGGAGTAAAGGGTACTGTACTGAGAGCACTTTCTACACAACAGTACAAAATCGTGGGTCTCTGATACCCTATAACAAAGCTCCCTTCACTCTCCAATCCTGAGACAACAAATCCTGTAGTTCCCCCTCGTCATCGCTGTCAACATTCTCCTCTTCCTTTTTCTGCAGTTCTTTTATGGTCAGAACCTCTTTAAGCTTATTTTTTATTTCATCCTGGCGATTCCGCAGCTTTTCCACTCGACGGTAACACTCAATCTGCTCATCGATCTCCCCAATCTGCCGGTCCAACCGTCCCTCCTCATCCTCTTCGGCAACTATGGCTTCGGAAATAGTGTTGACCTGTCTCATAGCTTTTTGAAATTCGTCCCATTCTTTGTCCATCTGGTCCTTTGGGGCATCAACCTTTCGTACCCTCGCGTCTATCTCAGGGTCGTCAAAAAACCCTTCTGGTAATGCTTCCGCAGTGTTTTCTCTCCTTTCCACTACTTTTTCATGTATTTCTGCTTTCTCAATTGACCCGGAATGAGGGATTAAAGGGGCCTTGGGAGGATTTGTATCCGAGAAATTGCTTGGCAGCCTATTACCAGTTGCCTCCCGCGAGGAGGAAAGTGAGTGTTCCTTGCTCTGTGAATTGGACGACTGCTTACAGGCATCCCCCTTCTTCCCTTCTGCTCCTCCTCCTCCTCCCTTCTCCTCCTCCTCGTCCTCCTCGTCATCATAATCAGGGAGTAAACCGAGTCCCGAAGCCTTACCGACGGTCGTCCTAGTGGACTCCTTTCCGGCTTTGTCAAAGTTGGTGGGCAAAGCGGACGTGGAGGGCTGTACCTGAGGAACCAAGGAGGCCTTCGCTCTTTTGGCATCTTGGCTCTCAGAGTCCGGCGCTTTCCTCTTGGTGGACTGAGGCACTGCGCTGGTGGACGGGCCCTGGGCTGCTTCCTTCGCGCCTTTCAGCTCGGCCACTTTCTCTCGGTGCTGCTTTCCCAGGACGTGAGTCTGCCACAGGAGCTCGCTCTTAACCGGAGTGTTACACAAGGCACAACTCAGCTGCCCCAAGCGGTTGTACTTCGCGAATGGAGATTCTATGCGTTTCCGGTTGGTGCTCAGACGCTGCTTTTCCTTCATCAACCGCCGCAGTTCGTCCTGATTCACCACTCGCTTCCCCGCGGAAGGCCGGGCTGAGGCGGACGACGCCATCTTTGCTATCCGGATGGAGGCGAGCCTGGCTTCCGTCCCGGCGACGTCTGATGACGTCACTTCCTGTCCGGACGCGGATTGGTTGAGGCTCCGGGACGTGAGCGGTGGCGCCCAGATTTCCTTCCGTAACGTACCGTAGGCGATTTTTGCCTGCAGGGTCGCTTCTCCGACTTTCTGTTCATGGCTGCGATAAAGGCCATAAACTCCAAGGCTGAGGTGGCACGGGCGCAGGCGGCCTTGGCCGTCAATATATGCGCTGCCCGAGGGCTGCAGGATGTGTTGCGGACCAACTTGGGTCCCAAGGGCACCATGAAAATGTGAGACGGCCGTTGGAGCGGCGGTTAGGGCGTCGGGGTTTGTTGGGCATCTAGGCGCCCTGTGAGGCAGAGGTTCCGCTGAGTTTGGAGCGATGTGGACGCATTTGCGGGCCTGCTTTCCCTCGTTTTCATTCCTGCCCTGAGTTCATCTCCTGCCTGGTCGAGGAGGAGAAATGCTCCCCGAGGAAAGGGCTCACGAGTGAAGCGGTGACCAACCCCGTTCCCCCCTCCCCTCTTGTTTAGGTTCATATGCAACTAAAAGTTCATTAAGTGTCTCGGATGAAACATAAGCCATCTAGCTCTCTTGCCTTTAAAGAGTTTGGGTTTTGTTTGTCAGTCTGCTGTAGTGGAGAGGGCTCGGGCTCTGGAGCCTGGCCGGCGTGGGTTCAAATCCCAAGTTCTCCTGTAGATTTTAAGTCCTTGGGCAAGTTGAACGCTCTATGCATACGGTTCATCATATGTATTTATCCTTTAGCATGTATTTATTTAGGACCATTATTTGCTTTAGAAGAGAGTGGGGATGGGACAGAGACTTCCCTGGCTGTCTACTGGTTGACTCCCGGCTTCCACTGCAGGGGAAGCGGTTAGATCCCCGGTGGGGAAACTAAAAGATCCCGCATGCCGTGCGGTGTGACCAAGAGAAAAAGAGTGAGGGAAAGAGATGAGTGAGGGCAATGAGAAGTGTAAGAGGAGAGATAGTCTCAGAAGAATGAGCAGAGTAATTAGTATTGACAGTAAAAGAGGGCACTGGTTATGTCTAGTTGGGATGCTGGGAATACAGAGATGACCAGGATACAGTTTCTGTTCTTAAGGAGTTCTGGTAGAGATGAATGTGCTAATGGGTATATGTATGTGTATATACAGCATATATTGTACTGAAGAAAGGGATTATAACTGATGACAGAAGGGAGAAAGGAAAGCTTCTCAAATAATAGAATTGTTTCTCAATCTTGAAAGAGGATTAGAGTTCACCAGAGAAGGGAATAAAGGCCTTCTATGTAGAATAACTTCAGGACCAAGAAAGCCCAACAGTATAAATACAACAGAAACGAAACCAAACATGATTTATTAAGGGAACCACAATATTTTCCCTCAAGATCTCACTTGGTAGAAGTAGAAAAGAATAGACATTCCCTAAGTTGGGAAAGGTAACTATGTCATTGTTAAATAGCCTGGATTTTACTTTGAAGGTGATGGAGAATATGAAAATCATGGAATTTTTTGATCAGGGAACTTACTGAATCACATTGTCTTTTAGAAAGATAAATGCAGTGTGGAGGGTAGATTCCAATTCAGAAATATCAGGATGCTAAGTAGTCCAGATTAGAGATGATGATGACTTGGAAATGACAGGAGAGGGTAGATTCAAGAGACCTTTAGATTGTAGGGTTGACAGAACTTGATCTTATAAACATGAAAGATGAAGGAAAAAATAGTTCAATGAATGAATGTAACAGTTCACAAAAATAAGAAACCTGCAGAAAATTCACAAATAATGTGGTTTGTAGACTTCCAAGTACTCTTCCAAGTACCAAACCACTGTTCATAGCTCATCGACTGCTTCTATCCCTAGACTTGCAAATCCTCCTTTGGAAATGAAATCATCATTGCAGTCCATCTGGGGAGAAGTGATAGTGTGGGTTGCAAATGGTGGTAATTACTGTGGTGTCCCCCATGATATAATGGAAGTTTTCCACACCCAGTTACTTATATTAAAGATAGTGGAGTGGCAAGTACTGGAAGTGTCTTGTTTGGCTCTTGCCATATGAGGTTAATAACCACTGTTTTCTGAACAGGCTTGTTTCTGGGGCAGGAGATGTCAAACTCACCAAAGATGGCAATGTGCTTCTCCATGAGATGGTGAGCTGATGATGCTGACTTAATAAACCTTAATATATCATAACTGAGGACATAGTACAATTTGTGTATCTTTAAACCAAGGCTGTCAGCTAAATACTGCTGTCGTGAGATATGTTTGTTGGATTAAACCTTAGGGGAGAAAAAAAGTCTATTGACTATTTTCAAATCTTACAAATAATAGCTTAGGGATACTTCCAAATTAGTTACATTTTTTAAAGGCACTGCAGTATGTTCTTTGTAATCATGGGGAAAAAAATTCCTTGCAATTTTAGTAAATATATTCATCTTCAAGATTGAAGGATTTAATATTATTTTGGAAATGTCATTGCCTTCTGAAGCAGAGATGCTTTTAGAAAATGTTCAAACCTCATTAGTTCTCAGTTTTTAACTTTTGGTTTTGACATTATGTATGATAATACAGAACTTGTGAACTAATAGAATGAAGCTTATTTAATTTCTTAATTTTACTTTTGACCCTTAGATTGTCTTGCTTGTGGTGGACTCTTTCTTTCTCTCATTCTCTCTCTCTTGTAATCTGCTTACTTTTTTCAGCAAATTCAACACCCAACAGCTTCCTTGATAGCAAAAGTAGCAACAGCCCAGGATGACATTACAGGAGATGGTACTACTTCAAATGTTCTAATCATTGGAGAGTTACTAAAACAAGCTGATCTTTACATTTCTGAGGTATTAGAATTTCATAGAATGCACATTCATGTGGCATTTTATTTTTGAATAGAAAGTTATTTATGTTTGTTAGTAAAATGGTTTAATTTTAGACTGCAATAATTAATTTTTATCAAGATATTTTTGGACAGTTATAAATGGAAATAGCAATGAACCTTTTTGCCAAAATAATGCCTTTTTATTGAAATTATATACCTAACCTTAACCCTAAAAAATAAAGTATTTGAGATACATAAAAGTTAAAAAAATACCCATGTACCCATGACTAATGGCCTAAGAAAGAAAATATCTCTGATAAAGCTGAAACCAAATTATGGACCTTTTAAAAAAATAACTAGAGGAAAATTATTGAAGTTATCCACAGTGTGAATTTACCTACCTTTCTAATTTTAGTTCTCTTTGTAAACAGTCTACTGTAGCCCGACTCCTTCGTTCACTGGCCTTTGAAATAATTACATACATTTCTACCTCCATGCCTTTGTTCAATTTGTATTGTTTTCTTTGCATTATTTATCTGTCTTTTCTAATTAAGTAGTTGAATTTCTGCTGTTTCAAGGACCATTTTAGCAAAGCATAATCTGGTCAAAGTGCTCAAAGGATCACTTCTTTGTGTTTCATTTAATATTGGGAATTGTCTCTTAATTCAGTGCATGCAACTTATCTTAGGATGCTTTTGGCTGTAAGCAGTAGAAACTTGACTAAAAGTCACTTAAACAATAAAAAATTTTCTCCCATAGCAAAAATTAGAGCAATAAAGCAGGCTTCTAGGGCTCATTGATTAAAAATTTACCAAGTCATCAATTGCCCAGGTCCTTTCTGTCTCTTAGCTCTTGCACTTATGATGCTGTTTCATCATGGGCTTATTTCCATCCTGAATGACTGTCAGAAGAGATCAGCCTCCCTGCTTCCTTTACTAATCCTCAGCAGGAGAGGACAAGAGAAAACAATTCAGTCAGTCATGGACTAAAAGTCCTTCCTTTATATGGTTGGGCCAACACTGGTCTTATGTCCATCCTAAACCAATGACAATTTTTGGTAAATTGACTTAATCTAAAGGTAATCAGGAAGAACTCTCTGCAGGAAATAGGCCTGGGCTGAATCTTTAGGATGAGAAGGAGTGAGCCTGGTGAAAGAGTGGCAGATGAGGAGAGTGACATTCCAGGCAGAAGGGACACAGCCGGTGTGTGTGCACAGCTGCGAGCAGTCTGGCCTTGGTGGGGTTAAAGTGATGCAGACAGTAGTGAATAGGCACGTGATATTAACCAAGAAGAATATTCATGTTAACATACTAATGAGTTAATTAATGGTCAGATGGGCATTTCAGATATTTAGGGGACAGTTTTTTTTTTTTTTAGGGGACACTTTAAGAGAGTCAAGACTGATGTTTTTCCTAGTAGTCCAGGTGAGAAGTTGTGAGGTCCTAGGCTGAAGAAACGTTTTGAAGATGGTTAGTAACACAGGCTCTGGCATCAGGTTTTGTGGGTTTAAATCCTGACTCTGGCTGTTACTCAGTTCAGTTCAGTTCAGTCGCTCAGTTGTGTTTGACTCTTTGCGACCCCATGAATCACAGCACTCCAGGCCTCCCTGTCCATCACAAACTCCCGGAGTTTACTCAAACTCATGCCAATCGAGTCAGTGATGCCATCCAGCCATCTCATCCTCTGTCGTCCCCTTCTCCTCCTGCCCCCAATCCCTCCCAGCATCAGGGTCTTTTCCAGTGAGTCAGCTCTTCACGTGAGGTGTCCAAAGTATTGGAGTTTCAGCTTCAGCACCAGTGCTTCCAATGAACATCCAGGAGTTAATCTCCTTTAGGATGGACTGGTTGGATTTCCTTGCAGTCCAAGGGATTCTCAAGAGTCTTCTTCAACACCACAGTTCAAAAGCATCAATTTTTTGGCACTCAGCTTTCTTTACAGTCCAACTCTCACATCCAAACGTGACCACTGGAAAAACCTAGGCTGGTGATCTAAGCCTTTAAGCCTAAATTTCCTCATTTGTGAAACAGGAATAATATCAGCACCCACTTCATAGTGTTGAGGGGACTGAAATAATACATGTAAAGTCCTTAGAACAGTGCCTGGTACAAATACTCAATAAATGTCAACTTTTGAAGTTACTGTAGGACTGATGAAACGA